CAGGTAGGATTGAAATATGGGTGCAGACATGAAGGTATGGTGACTCACCCTATGTAATTGTAGTCCTGGCCTCCTCAAGCCCTGTCTGTGGTAAGACAGGTTCTACATGAGGTTCACCAGTACCAGTGGGATCAGGTGCTATGGCTGGGCTGGACAATCTCCCAGTGAGCATGGAGGGAGGTCTTTCCCGTTTTCTTGTAGGTTGATGTAACTTCATATGTCTAGTTCATGGAAATACAGACTGGTTTGGCTTGGAAGGGACCTTGGAGCCCATTCTGTTCCACCCTTTGCCAAAGGCAGAAGCACTTTCCTCTATCCCAGGTTTCTCCAAGTCCCATCCAAGTGGTCTTGGACACTTCCAGGGATGGGGCAGCCACAGCTGCTCTGGGCAACCTGTGCCAGATGCTCACCACTCTCAAAGGGAAGAATTTCTTCCCATTATCCCATCTAACCCTGCCCGCAGTCAGTGGGACAGCATTCCCCCTTGTCCTGTCATTCCATGTCCTTGTCCAAAGTTTCTCTAAAGCTCTCTGAGGGCCATTTTAGGTACTGCAAGGTAATGGAATTTCTTCCTGGAGCCTTCTCCAGGCTGAACCAACCCCAACTCTCTCAGCATGTACCCACAGGGTTCCTTGCTTTTACCTGTGGGTTTGAAGAGGAAATTCTGTAGGAGACAACCATGTGTGTACCTATTGATTTTTGTTTGCACTTGAATTTTTCATACATTTCATATGGATTTAAAGTGATAAATTTGCAGAAGCCTGAGCCCTTTATGGCTGGGGTTTGTGGAGCTCTCTGGGCATCAAGGCTGTCTTGCTTTTCCTCAGTAAGTTCAATAAATAATAAGTCAACTTCTGTCATTCACTGAAGGAAATCTTTCTGTTCAGGTTCAGGGAGATTTACAGGATTCTATAGACACAACTGAAATTGATGTTTTCTCAGTGTCTTGTAACATAAGGATTTTTTGACTGACGTGACCAGAAGGAGCAAATTCTCACTGAAAAATATGAAAGTAGATGGATGAAGGCCACTACCCGTCAGTGCTGGAGGAGATAAACCACTATGGAGGATCTCTGTGGTAACTGCCATATCTTAAGAAGAAAAAGCACCCATTTTGAGGTCAGAAAGCATTGTGGAAAGTTTTTTAAATCTCCTAACTTAAACATGTGATAAGAGCAGTTAAAAGGTGCTGTGCCTGATGGTCAAACTGAGTGTTGGAAGCCCTTTGACAGGCTGGGCTGTTGACCTGCTGAAGATTTACGGCACGTCAGGGCTGTGACTTGGCGTGAGATGCTTTCCCTTTCATCTCCAATTAAATTTTAAAAAGTGCCAGATAGTATAATTTTAGTGGGGTAAAATATATACATACAAACATATTTTTCTCTCTACCATGACTGACTCACATTTTAGCAGAGGTCCTCCTCTAATGACTTTGAGTCGTTTTATAACCTTTCTTTTATAAGTTGTACATGTTCATTATTAGGTCTTTAAAAACAAACTCTGGAAAAGTTTGGCCCCAGTGAGTTGTGTGTTGCTGTAACTTCTGCGAGGAGTGAAAATAGTAGGAATGATACGTTTCTAAATTTTCTTTTTGGGTTTTCTTTTGACAGCTAGTTCTGTACATAGTATGTGTAAACATCTGTAGTGTAAGTAAAGCTCTCTGATTTCTGAGATGTGGAGTCAAATTATTGTGCATGTCATGTTCCTTAATATATGGTATTCTATTTAAATAATGGAACTAAGGAGAAAAGAGAACAGGTCAGCAGAGTATAATAGTTGTACAAGGTAATTTTGATATATCAAGTAGGAAGTATATTATGTATCATCTCATCCTGGTCTTGGCAGCAAAGGTCTTACTGATTATACAGTAAAATATCTTAAAACATTGCTGGTGCTGATACTGTTTGAGATATTCCCTAACACATGCAGTAAATGGAACCCAAACTTTTCAGGTGTGGGATTTTGAAATTAAACTTTAGGATCTTAAAATGTAAATAAAATGTTGTTATGAGCTGCCTTCTGAGGAACCCTGTCCACAGACTGCATAGGACATGTCTGTTCTAAATGGGCACTGAACTAAAGGTAAATGGTGGCAATATGCCACCTGCAGTCTTATCCCAGAGCATCTTCAGAAATATGCTTGCAGGAGAGGAGGGGAGGCTGAGTCAGAGGTCACCGTGAACTGCAGTTCCTCCTGAGGGGTAGCTCTGATCTCTGCCCTCTGTGACAAGGGATAGGACCCAAGGGAATGGCTGGAGCTCTCTTAAGGAGGGTTAGGTTGATATCAGGAAAAGGTTCTTCCCCCAGAGGGTGGTCAGCCACTGCCCAGGCTCCCCAGGTCCTCATGGTCCCAAGGCTGCCAGAGCTCCAGGAGCATTTGGGAAATGCACGCAAGCACAGGGTGGGATTGTTGGGGTGTCCTGGGCAGAGCCAGGACTTGGATTCAATGATCCTTGTCTGTCTCTTCCAACTCAGGATATTGTGTGATTCCATGTGGAAATAAAGCCAAAACCAGTACAGTGATCTTCCCTGCTGTCCTTGCTTCCTGGTGATATCCGTAGCAAATCAGTGGCAGCAGACTGCAACAGGATTGAAAATGGGGAAGGGAAGCTGCTGTGCGCCACTTGGTCTGGTTTGGGAAATTTTTTGGGTTTTGTTTTTGTCCACAGTCATGGTTTGTACCCTGACTTTGCTGTGTTTTTTTGAAGTTGCAGTTCAGAAGGATTATATCCCTTTTCCCTCTCCAAGTGAATTAACACAGGATAGAATTAAAGGACTGATTTATGAAGTGGATAACAGCTGTGATGCTGAATTGATTGGGTACAAGGAGGTACTTGGCAGTCCCTGCAGACTGAGGCTGGGCACTGTCAGACTGATGCCATCAGAGTCTTACCTGCCAATTTGAATGTGCTTTTAGAGAACTGTTTCCACACCAAGCTTTTGGAGAATGGTGAGTCCTTTCCCAAGCTGACTGCAGAGCCCATCCTGAGCACTGAAAGTGAGAACATGGGACCCATATATACATACTGTGTTACCGAGGGAATATGTAGGACTCTTAGTCATAACATTAGCATTGTGTTGCCCCTAAAATAATCCATGTTGTACTTTGATTATTTGTATACTGGTGGCATTCATGTTCACTGGTTCAAATGAGATTTTCTGCCTTTTTCATCACTACTCTTGTAATGCTTTGATGAGATTTTCAGAAGTTCTGTTGTATCTCTCTACATCCTTAATTCACTTTTAAAACCTTTTCATCATTAATTATAATTGAATTTTGCCCTTGATCAGGTGTATGGATAATCTTTTAAGAGCAATTTTAAAAATGGGATAAAGAAGCTAGTCAAAGAAAGTAACATTAGTTGAGTCTTTGGTTTGTGGAGCAGTGATTAAAAAAAATGTTGGGAAAGACGATCTGCTTTCTTCAGCTGCATCAGTCTGACCTCAAGATCAAAATTTAAGAATGCATTAAAGGAAAGAATGATAGTACATAGACAGAAATTGCTAGATATATTTGCCATTTGTAAGTGATACTGTTTAAAATACAATAAGTATGTGTGTCAGATGTTTTATAAGCATCATTTAGGATGAAAGCACCTGTAAGATATAAATAACTGGAATCTGGGCTTTGGAAGCCACTTTGATTCAATGGCAGCATCCAGAACTGGACTGCACTGCATGACCTATGAAGAACTTTTCATCTCAGGTGTGGTAGTGAGGAAATCTGGAGAGTTTATCTTCCATTCTGCTCTTTCTATTGATATAGACTTAATCAGGCTCCTTCTCATACTGCAGGCATGGAAGGGGAGCAGTTGGTGAGGTGTTAAACAGGAGGATAAGAGTTAAAAGAGGGGCTGTGGGAGGGGATTCTCCCCTGCTCAGGTGAGACCTCACCTGCAGAGCTGTCTCCAGCTCTGGGACCCCAGCACAGGAAAGACCTGGAGCTTTTGGAGTCCAGAGGAGGCACCAAGATGTTCAGAGGGATGGAGCAGCTCTGCTATGAGGAAAGGCTGAGAGAATTGGGATTGTTCAGTCTGGAGAAGACAAGGCTCTGGTGTGACCTAATTGTGGCCTTCTAGTAATGGAAAGGAGCTGAGAAGGAAGATGTAAAGGGAGTTTGGACAAGGACTTGGAGGGACAGGACGAGGGGGAATGGCTTCAAACAGAGACAGTGTTGATTCAGATTAGATATAAGGAAGGAGCTTTTTTTGATGAGAATGGTGAGGTGGCACAGGTTGCCCAGCAAAACTGTGGCTGCCCCATCTCTGGAAGTGTCCAAGGTCAGACTGGATTTGGCTTGGAGCAATCTGTAATAGTGGAAGGTGTCCCTGACAGTAGTGGGGGTTTGGAATTGGATGGGCTTTAAGATCCCTTCCAACACAAACCATTTCATGATTCTATTGTGAGAGATAAAATAATGTTTTATTTCAGCCATAAGAATGTATACTTAATGTGACGTAGGCAAAGATGTAGCTAGCATGAGGCTGGGACTCATGAATGTAGGGGGAAGGAAAAGGGGAGTTAACTGATGTTTGTTAGGAGGGAGATAAAGGGGAGAGTGAAGAAGGTGTTGGTTTGAGTGCAGTAGGTGGTCAGAAAGAATGTAAGTTCCTGAGTACCCAGGCAGTGGGAAAGGGGTCAGGGATGCCCCATGGCTGGGGCAGGGCATAAAAGTTTGTACATTTCAGGGGGAGGTGTGCCTCCTCAGTGAGATGCACCTGACTCAGCTGCCGTGTTTATATTGATAAATATTTTTGCTTCAATGACTTTGTTCTCTTTCAACTTTATTGGTGAGTGAGTGTTTCTCACAATCTGGGAAATTGTCTGGGAGACTTAACCTCTGATTCTGCAGAGTGGCACAATGAGACTAGGGGAAGGCATGCCCTGCTGGTTTTAGTAGCCCTGACATGGAGTATCTTCTTATGAAATGTTGTTTGGGTTATGTTATTTGGGAAGGAAGGGTTGCCAGTTCCTGAAACAAATGACCTGTGTTGCAAAAATTATTTGCAGGAGATAATGCTTTCTTTTGCAGGTTTTAGAAGAAGGGGTTATTGCCCCAAAGCTCAGCCCTGGACATTTACATACATCAGGTAAAACTGGGATATTGCGTGTTGGTAAAATCTTGAAAAAACGACACTTTGACACTGGCATGGGAAGGTTGCTTTCAAATATGCTTGAGGGAGCAGTACACACTACGAAGAGAGGGTGGGCACATGAAACCCAAATTAAAGGACCAGACTGGACTGATACAGAGAAGTAACCCTCTAAAATTAACCCTTAAAAGATAATCAGTCCTGAAAATGAATAATTTAAATACTTCCGCCTGGGTTATAATTTTAGTCGTAGTAAACTCCATCTTAGCTGACTGTTGCATTAAATGCCATAGAACCTGGAAAGTTGCTGGAAAAAATTAAAGATGTTTCACCCATCATCTGTGTCTCAATATGGCATGCTATTCTGGTAAAACTACAAAACGTCAGGAAGGGATCCCTGGTGGAACACAAACCTACTGAATTGCCCAAAATTTAGGAACATAGGCTCAAACATCAGAAAGCTTGCCTGTGTGCCAGTACAGAAATGGAACGCAGTGTGGGATTCCCACCAGTAGGATAACCTATTTGGGAAAACCTTGTGGAAGAAGATGGGTATCTTTCTATCATGTGCCTTCGCTGGATTATTGCTTATGCCTTGTTTTATTCCCTGTTTTATCAGGTTAATTGCTAGTGTAGTAGAAGGAATGAAGGTGATCAGAATGCCAGTGAACCCAGACCTAGCAGCTGCTAGTCAAAGAATTGGAGTCCAGAACATCATGGTCCTAAGGAGATCAGGAAAGAGAGAAGATAGAAGAAGACCTATATCTTATTTTACATCAGCTAGAGCAAAGCTAGTGCCTCAGCAGGAAATGAAGACCTAAAACATCGGAATAAACCTAGCTCAGCATGAGTTGGCAAAATAACAGGACTGGAGTGTAACTGTCACATTTGAATATAACTGCTTTGCAAATAGGGCCCAGCCCCCACCGACCAGACAGAAAACCAAACCAAGGGCCTCAGCAAAAGGTGATAAATAAAATGGGAGTAAATTGTGAGGGATAAAATAATATTTTGCTTCAGGCATAAAGAATATATTCTTAATGTCACATAGGCAAAGATGTAGCTAGCATGAGGCTGGGACTCATGAATGTAGGGGGAAGGAAAAGGGGAGTTAACTGATGTTTGTTAGGAGGGAGATAAAGGGGAGAGTGAAGAAGGTGTTGGTTTGAGTGCAGTAGGTGGTCAGAAAGAATGTAAGTTCCTGAGTACCCAGGCAGTGGGAAAGGGGTCAGGGATGCCCCATGGCTGGGGCAGGGCATAAAAGTTTGTACATTTCAGGGGGAGGTGTGCCTCCTCAGTGAGATGCACCTGACTCAGCTGCCGTGTTTATATTGATAAACAGTTTTGCTTCAATGACTTTGTTCTCTTTCAGCTTTATTGGTGAGTGAGTGTTTCTCACACTGTGAAAGAAAGGGAGAGGGTAGGAAATTGGAGCTGGAACCTGGCTTAATATTTTCATTCATGACCTGGGTAAAGTGAAGAGATGTGCACTTCTTACATCACTGATGATGTCACTGTGGAGCCTGGGTGCAGAGATCACACCATCTTCTGGGCAGAGCAGGAGGAATGAAGTGACAGAATGGGGCTGAGGTGACATCACACTCCTGGGGATTTACAGAAAAAGTCTGTTAAGAAGAAGTTATATATTAAAAAAAAAAAACAAACCAAAAATAGGAATTGGTTCTTTGAATGGCTGTTACTTGTCAGCATGATGCATTTGGGAACACAAGGAAAAAGGCAGAGAGAAGAAGGAAAAATGATGCTGTGGTTCAAAATGCAACCAAAAATACAACGTCCCACATGCGCTTTTATCTGAGTTTTTGAAATCATTGAAAGATACAATGACTGAAATTAGTGTTTCAATCCTCTAAGCACAAACTTTATCACGTGAGCTGTGAATACACATCACACAAGGCACCAAAACTGGGAGAACAGAATTTCTAGCAGAAAGTTGGAAGCATAAGACCTTGTGCTTGTCCCTTGTGGGATATTGTATTTTTGCTGTGACATGCTGGAACCTGTGCAAAAGTGATGTTGAAGTTTTTATGTAAAGTTACAGTAAGGCATGTTTGCAAATTACTCTCCCCCCCGTGTTTATTTGCATAAATGATTTTTGATTTGTTTTTGGTGTTAAAAAGTGATTGTTTTTAATGCAGTGCTCAAGTGGTACTGTAAGTAACCTTGCAAAAGTTTTGTATTAATGTGTAATTTTCATGTAATGCTTCACTACACTGAGTCTTTCATAAAATCCTCCTTTTGCCAATGTCCCTGTGTTAGGGAATTGTGGGAATGTGACTGGGATAGGCCGGATGCAAAGTGCTCTGCAGCAAATTAGTGGCTGGGTGAGGCCTGGGAGTCTCCAGGCTCGTCTGGCAGAGCAGCCTGTGCTTATTGACAAGTCACAGCACTGCTCATGTAGAAATAATTTTGTCTCCAGAGAAGAGGATAGAGAGCCCTGGGAAAATGTCAGCTTTTCACTTCAGTGCGAAACAATGAGGATCACAGGCAAGAGACAGCTCAGACCAAACTCTGAATAAATGCATCAGCCACAGTTTTTGTCCATGAGGGAATTACTTATTGTTATTGAACAGACATTAACACCATGAAATCCTGTGACTCACTGAGATAGCAAACGTGTCATGCAAATAGTAACTAAATTTATTTGAGTTCCAAATCAGCAGCAAATTTAGTATGAATTGTGCAAGGTTCTCCTGTTTCCCTCTGATGTTAAAAGGGATATTGTGAAAAGTCCTGTGGGTGAGTTTAGTAATTGTGTTTGCCTGTAAAGCCCTGTTGGCTTTCAAGGTTTTTCTGTGTGTGCTGTCCACAAAACACTTTGGGATTCATCTTTAAAGCTGTTGCCCACACATAGAAAATGGTCACTTGAGTTAAACTTTGAAATTAATGGTCCAGATCTTAAAAATGAGCACTCAGTATTTATCAGTTCTTGCCTTTTCTGTCTCTGAAATACTGGAGTTTTTAAGGAGATGGGGAAACAAAAGAAAAAAAAAAAACAACAAAACAAAAAGAACAAAAAAATCAAGTAATTTGTGATGGAGTTGGTGGCAAAGGTCTAAATGCTGCTTGCCCTCCTTCCTTTGGAGGGTTCAGGTCAGGGTTAGCTGAGCTGATACTAACAGGTAGTAGCTCAGTCTTGGCCAAGTCCTAGTTCATATTTTATTGATGACCTGAATGAGGGGATCGAGTGCACCCTTAGTAAGTTTGCAGATGACACAAAATTCTGTGGAAGTGTCAGTCTGTTGGAGGGCAGGAAATTCTGCAGAGGGGTCTGGACAGCTGGATTGATGGGCTGAGATCACCGAGTGGAGGGTCAACAAAGCTGTGTCCTGAGTCCTGCACTTGAACTGCAGCAAACTCATGGAGCACTCAGGGGGCAGAGGGGCTGGGAAGGCCCTGGGGGTGCTCTGACAGCTTCTGGACAATGAGCCCAGGTGGGCAAGGGGCCACTGGAGGCCGCTGGTCCCTGGGCTGTGCCAGCTCTGGGGTGGCAGCAGGACCAGGGCAGTGCCTGTCCCCTGTGCTGGGGCACCTCCAGTGCTGGGACAGCTCTGGAGATCCCTGGAGGGGCTGGAGCGTGGCCAAGGAAGGGAACAGAGCTGGGAATGGGCTGGAGAATTGCTGAGGGAGCTGGGAAGGGCTGGAGAATTGCTGAGGGAGCTGGGAAGGGGCTGGAGAATTGCTGAGGGAGCTGGGAAGGGGCTGGAGAATTGCTGAGGGAGCTGGGAAGGGGCTGGAGAATTGCTGAGGGAGCTGGGAAGGGGCTCAGGCTGGAGCAAAGGAGGCTCAGGGGGAATTTCTGGCTCTGCACAAGTCCCTGGCAGGAGGGGACAGCCGGGGGGGATTTGGGAACAGGGACAGGAGGAGAGGGAACGGGCTCAGGCTGGGATTCTGGGATTCAGTTAAGTTCTGGGATTCTGTGTCTGTGCACACATGGGCTGCCCAGGGGTGTTCAGGTAATTCCATGCTCCCTGAGCCCTTGGTGCTTTCCTGCACCTGCAGTGGTGTCCGTGGCCCCCTCAGCTCCTGCTCCCTCTGGTCTCCAGCAGGGAATGCACACCCGGCCCAGCCCCCTCTGAAATCAATTATCCAAGAGCTTTTCATTTGTGGGAGTTATTTGCTTCCTTGACCAGCTCATTGCTCCTTCTCAGGAAAGCTTCCAAGAATGTGGAGAGACTCTCCAGAATCGTTAATCAGAGCAGCAGGGAGATTTATTAACTCTGCTCTCCGTGCAATAAACCCATCAGGCTCCAAAGGCAGCCCTGTGCCATCAATTCCTCCTCCGAATTTAAAGGCAGCTCCAAGCAGCCAGCCCTGATTTATTGTTGGTGGCTGCAGAGCTGTGATCCTGACCCAGCTCCAGAATCCAGGAGTGAAATGAGAGCAGTCCTTTTTTTCAGCATTAATTACCTTAATGAAAGCCAATGATGTCCATGCCAAAGGCTGGGAGCGCAGGGAGATCCATGGAACTCTTCAGGTGAGCTGCTGGGGAGTGTTGGGATGTGACTGGGAAAGCCCAGAGCTGTGGTGGGGGATGTGAATGAGCACAAATGAAATCTGTTCTGGGCAGCAGAATGTGCCCCCTCGCTCAGCTGGGAGAGGGGAACAGCTTCAGCCCCAGCTGGAAATGCCACAGGGCTTTTCTTACCCCAGAGCACCACGGCTGAAGGATGTGGCTGGATCTGTGCTCAGCTGGACTGGGGTGAGGGACCTGGAGCAGGACACGACCCCATCGCTGTCCCTGGCTGCTCCAGCAGCTCCTGCTGCACTCACACACCCTCTGCCCCTTGGGGCTGCAGCCAGGGAAGGGTTCTGCTGGAACCTGCCAGCCCCTCCAGCCTCTCCAGCCCCTCCAGCCCTGTGAGACCTTCCAGCCCCTCCAACCCTTCCAGCCCCTCCAGCCCCTCCAGCCCCTCCAGCCCTGTGAGACCTTCCAG